AAATGCTAGATTTGGGTGAAAAGATACACACCAATTACTTGTTTCTTAAACATATCTTCTTCCCCAAAAAAAAAAAATCAAAATCTATTTTTAAACCCGGATATCCAACAAATCATGCGAGTCGACTAATCTCAGGACGACCACCTGCTTTACAGATAGCTCGGAGTCATTACATTTGAACTTCCGTGGCCACAAGGGGATTTTTATTCATCATTGGATTTAAACATGAGACCTCATGATACTTTTGACTTTTGGAATCAAGTTCAAACCAATTAGATACCACCACTGTGGTTTCAATTCTTTTTATATTTTTCGGGATGACAAAAATATTATTTTATTAAAATATTTAATAACATATTATTTATTTATCTTAAACGTCTGATTTTAAAGTTTTCTTATTGGTATGAATAAGAAACAGTTTTTATCTTACTTTTTTTCATTTTGGACTAAAGATATTGAATAATTTATTGGAGTAAGAAGTTTATTCAAAACCTTCATTTTATTCATTATGAATAATCTGTTGGAATATGTTTTTCAAAATGCTCGAGTGTTTTTTCATCATTGGTAATCATAATTAATTAATGTAGGCTAGTTTTGTCTTTATTTAAATCTTTCGGTCGTGCATAACATCCATCACATGGACAAAATCAAACTCGAAGCCCCACCATACATCGTTGCTACTTTAGCAGCATATTTTGATCTTATTTTTACCACCTTCAGATCGACAACAATGATCACTCGCTAATATAAAAGAGACATGTCTGAAAAGAATAATAAAATCAAGAATCGTAATAAATTTTAAAAATCAATACTATTTTTCCTCCATATCTTAATAATCTAATTTATGTCATTGATAATATATATGTTTTTAATTAATTATCTTGCATATTATAAATTAATATTTATTCATTTAGTTTTAATTAAAAATGTAGATGAATTATGAAAAAAGGGAGTTATGATTTGGGTGAGGCATGTTATGATGTTGTTTATTATAAATGTATGGTAGTGACCAAAAGATTTTGCATGGCAAGCTATCAACCATTGCATCTTCTTCATCATTAAAAAAATTTAATGTTCAATAATAATATTATAGTTTTTTAAATCTTTATAATTATTTAAGATTTGTTTTGCTTAAAAGTATTAAACCATATTATAACATCGATTAAGATAAAAAAAAAATTTTAAATCAAAATATATCTTATTAAATTGCACACATACCCTTTTTAGTTTTATATAATATAATAAATCAATCATTCTAAAATTTCAAATTTGAAGAAATGTTAAAAATAATGTGTAAAAGGATAACACAATAAATAAATATACACCAGTATATTAAACCTTAAAATTATTTAATATTCGTTTTTTTTGGGTATTATTTAATTAGTAAAAAGTCCATAGAGCCCCAACCCCAACACCAAACCAAACCTCCATTTTGTGTTTTTAATTAATTGTAGAGGGTAAATACTCATCATTTCATATAATAATTACCAACCCATGCAAAGGGTAATGATGGAATTTCATAATTACTGCTGCTCTTAAGTGCATTTAACCCTACACGTGACCCCTATGTTTGGTAATAAAAGCCTCTCCCCTCCAATATCCATCCTTCTTTAATCCCCTTTTCATTTTTTAATACATTTTTACCATTTATTAAAATCCATCAAAAAACGATTTAAACATGAAAATGCTTTTAATTTTTTTTTATGTAACATTCACATTTAAAATAAAAAAAATGAAGTATATTATTAGTTTAAATATTTTATTTTAAAATAATCATTATTCTTAAGAATTTTTTTACTTATAGTAGTTTATGAAGATTTTTTTTATCACTTTTTTTTTTTAATTTTAACCCTCGCTAATATTGATTATAAATAAAAAATTAAATTAATTATTATATACAAACAAGATATATATTTTTGTAATTTTCCTTTATTATCTTGTTCGTATTAAAATATTATATTATTTTATATTTATTTTAATTATATTATAAAATATTTTAATTGACAAATTTTTCAAGATGTCATTTTACATGATTATAAGCTAGTTTTTGTCAAACATAATTTGTTCGTCAGTTAACTTATCAACTACCAACTAACTGATCAATTATCAGCTAACTTATCAACTAGTTTGTCAAACAAAACCTTAGGGGATGTTATTTAAATCTCGTCTTTCCGGTGTTAGTATTCAAGCATTAGTAAAACTCTTGTGACCAAGGAGATTCACTTGTAACTATTCCAGGCTATTCATGGTTGCACGAGGGATTAGTCGGTACGCATGAGCTGCCTTGGATACCGAAGATTACTGTAGAAAGTTCAATGGTTGAACTACAAGAAATTTCAAACGTAAATGGGTAGAATAATTATTTTACAATGAATAAGAGTACAACTATTAAACCACTTGGGTTATGGCATGCTAGTTAAGCTTCAAGGGATATAGTGATAATATCGATCCTAAATTCGAATTCAGACGCTACCTTAAAAGCGATAGTTAAAAAGCGTTTGTGATCGTTCAAGGAATTAGTCATTGCATGTAAGCTGCCTCAAAAAGCCATATAGTTAGAAAAAGGAGTACTAGCTATTATTTGATTCACTCAGTCTATTCAGTTAATGATTCGTAACAACTGATTTATTTGTTAGATTTGTAAATAAAAATCATAAATAATCATATAATAATTTGTTAGATTTTCGTAATTATAATAAAAATACGAGGGACATTAATCATATAAATAAATGTTAGGTGAACACTCATGTTGTGGTCTTGGGATTGAGACGATGGATCATTGTTTTATCAATTGCCCATCGGTTCTTTAAGTATCGACATATTTTTCATCGATGGGGATATACTTTTTCGGCTTCCATTTCGTTCAAGGAGTTGTTATCGGGGTGTGGATCCCCAATCAATTCTAATAAAGCGAAGACGCAAGTGGTCATTTGGATTTGCTCTTTACTTAATTTGGCGTTTTCCGAAACTCTTTCGTTTTTTGCCCGGAAAACAACATTACCATTGACTTTTTGACATTCAATTCTTAACGTTTAAGTGGATCTCGATTCTCGACACGTGGTAAGAACTTCTCTTTCTCTTGGCTCGAGTCGTGTATAGGTCAAGCCTTTGAAGGGTAAGCATGCTTTGTTGTAGGTTCGTGGGATGTGAGCTGTGATGGAGGTTTTTTCCTGCTTTTTGGGATTTTCGGCTGCTTTCTTGTCGTGTTTTGGTTGTTGCTTGTTTCTTCAGTTTTATCGTTTGTTTTTCAGCTGGTGCTGCTTCTTATAGACCTAATATTCTTTTTTCTTCTTTTTGGTTATAATATGGCCTGACTTTCAAAAGAAAATCATAAATTGAGGTAAATTCCTACACTATACTTGATTGTTTTTATATATGTAGGTTTAGTTTTTGATATATGTTCGATTAGAATACCATACTTGATCATGGGATAAATTTTGATCAAAACCCGTTATCATAGTTATTATATCTGGTCGTCTTATTTTATAAATAACATATTTAATTGGGCAAAGGAATAAGTAAAAAATAACGAGTAATTATCGTAAAATAGGGACCCAATTGGCACCTGAAATCTGATATCGCTGCTGTGTTGCGATATGGGTGAAAACCGGGTCAAAACAGTGGGGCGGGTGAGACCCGGGATGTATGAATGAGAAAATATGGGATGATGATGGTTGATTGGTTGCTTTTGTTTGGGCTGTTGTAGTTAATTAGTTGGGCTTCAGATTTAATTGTTTATAGGCTAATGAATTCAGTTAGTTGGGCTATAGATTTATTTTATGGGCCAATAAATTCGATTGTTGTGTTGTGGGATGTTGGAATTAATTTAAATGTTGGCTTGTAAACTTACTGATGTGGCATCAGATTTGAGTTATTTTTATTACGTACTATATGTTCTTTCGATATCCACATCTATTAGTAGAAAAACTTCACATATAATCGAAGAAATTTGACTTTAAAGAAATTGAAGTATAATTTAACTACGTGTTTGGTTGGTAAGAATTGGAATGAAATCTCACAAAAGAATGGGAATCTGCATATGTTAGGAGTGACGGCTATGATGACGACAATAGTGGTGTCGGTTTGGGGATGGTGGGTGGGATGTGTAGGGGGTCGGGGTGAGGGGGTGTGGGGTTGGGTGAGGTGAGCGAGGTTGAGGTTGGGGTGGGTGTAGGCTATGACAGTGAACAATAGCCGAGTGGTGGTGATGATGGGGTGGGTGGCAATGTCGGTGGCGGTGGAATAATAATATTAATCAATAGTCGTAGTAGTGGCAGAGATGTTGGTGGCGAGAGCAGTAAGGGCAGACGGGGTGGTGGAGTGGAAGGGACGAACCCAAAAATGTTTTCAAACGGTGACATTATTTGACTATAAGAAATAAATATAAGGATATTTTATACAAAATTATTGTTGGTTTATTGGTTAGTTCATTGTTTCTCATATGTGAGGTCATGTGTTTGAAGTCTTTTCCTTCAGAAACATAATAAATCTGGAAATAAAAACTAAAAACTAAAAAGATGACACTAAAGGAGGTATTCGAACTCGGATCTAGGGTGTAAAAAAAGTCTTGCATACCAACTCTACCAAGAAAAACTTGTGTCCTCATAGTAGTTAATTACACTAAAACAAATAAGATTCAATATATGTAGACACTTTGGTAGTTGAATTGGCTGCAACCATGTCACTGCATGAGATCTTCTAGTTTCTTTGTTGAGGTGGGTGGCTCTACTTTTGCTGACATTTTTTTAGGTGAAGATTTTCCATACCAACTGTGCTGTTTCTTTAATTATAAAGAAAATTAACCTACTTTAAACAAGATTAAGAGATTAATTTATGGGTTATAAAGTCCCATCCAATAGTACAAAAGTTAGGATTAGAAGCAGCTAAAACTCACCAAAATGTCTTCATTTATAGTTGTAGTTTTGTTACTAACCAATAACCACCAACCTACTTCCCCCCCAATATAAAACCACCATGCAGATAAGCCCTAAAACAGACACAAATGGCTCCAACCCTCCAACATGATACTTACAAAGAGCATGCAGCTTCCATAAAAGAGAATGTTAAAGAAGAGGAGGAGGAGGAGGAGGAGGAGGAGGAGCTTTTCGAGATAGATTTAGAAGCCGTTGGCGATCTTGCTCCACCGTATTATTGGGAAAGCTATTTGACTGCAACCGCAGACTATACCCTTTTCGCCAACTGTTTGGTTCCTGTAGCTGATGTTTCATCTGCAATACCAATGGGTAATCCCAAGCAGTCATGGTTGGGGCCGGGATCAGGGAGGGTTATATGGGTGAGAGAAGCACAGCCATTGCAGAAGTTTGTTGGGATTTCTTATTTGGATGCTTTGAGTAATCTGTTACAGAAGAAATTGATCGATGTTTCAGCCTCTTTGAAGCTAGAGAAATGAAGATGATGATGATGATGATGATGATGCTGGTGTGGTGGGTGCTTCTTGTATCTGGTCTAGTTGAATTAATTTGAGTATCATATACTTCATTAATTGAAAAGATATTTAATTATAGAGAGAAATACACAGTCATTTTCATAAAAAAAAAAAACATGAAAACCACATTATAACATGCGTTTTTACATTAAAATCATGTGCATAATTCACGTGACCCGAAATCACATGTGAGCACGTGTTCCATAATCGGATATCTATTATAAAACAAATTTAGCAAAAGTCTTAAAGTCTTAAAATACTAAATGACTAAGATACTATTTATACACTTTTTCACTTTTTCACCCCCTCTCTCCTCACATGCACTCACCCCCTCACATACACTCACCCTCTCACAACCAATTTTTTTTTAAATTATAATTTTAAATTTACACTTTATATCCCTATAATTAGTTAATTAATTTACTTTACGTCATTTACTTTTAAATGTTTCATTTTAAACTTTTATCGAATTAATGTACATAATCGTATATCAATTAAAACATATTTAAAAAATACATTTTTATTTTAACAAGTTACACCATTATAATCGTTTTCTTTAATATCTTCGAAATGAGTCCAATATTGAATAATTTTTTTACTTAATTATATTATTATATATTATATATACTATGAAAAAATGTTTTTAATATTTACGATTTATACTTTTATAGTTTTATATATATATATATATATATATGCATGTATTAATTCAACCTTAATTTGAGTTTCTGGACAAAAAAGAGGGTAAACAGTTGAAATTTCATTCTAAAACTCATTCTTTTTGGTTTTTTCATGGCTTATGATCTGTTAAATTTGTAGTTTTCTTTATTGGTTTTGAGTGTTTATCTTAAAACTCAAGTTTTCTTGGTTCTTTGCTCTTGGTGTAAATCGAGCACATTTGTGGAGTTGTTTAAATATATTGAATTTTAAATATATTGGATTTTAAACTGTCCTACAATTTTTTTCATCGATAGTCTGTAATTGGAACCATAACTTTCATTTATTCAAATTGTATTAATATGTAAAGATCAAGTGTAACCTATATCATCGTTAAATTTTATCTTATAAAACTAGTGGAACTTCAAAATCGGTAAAATCATGGTTCCCGCCGCATTGCGCGGGTACACAACTAGTAAAATTACATGTGGATTGATGGTTTTTTTATTCTCTTATTTTGACCATGTTATCGTTCGTTCCTCATACCATATATATAGAGAGAGAGAAGAAAAAACTTAGTTCAAATGTCAATCCAAATTATTGTGTTAACTTTATGAACTTTTTCAACCAATCACAATTATCTTAGCATTAGGTCTACTCTATTTAAGAATTTAACGTTAATGGTATGAGTAATTTTTTTTGCAACTCTTTTATCATTAATTGAGAGTTACAAGATCCATAAAATCCCATGATTTTTGTATTTTTAATATTGATCTTGTGATTATTTCATCTTTTAATATTGATCTTCCATTTTTAATATTAATAAATTTGTGATTGGTGGATGAGACCGCTAATAAAGTGTTTGTTATCGTTCAAACAATTATGAATAAAGACATCGAAAAACAACATGACAACATTGAGAAAGTTAAAATTGTTTATGATAACAATCGGAGTTCGAGATCGGGAAGTGAAGTAAATAATCAAAGCGAGTGTCTTGGTAATTATGAACACAAATTGACATATATATATATATATATATATATATATAGAGAGAGAGAGAGAGAGAGAGTCAGGTTCAGGGGAAAACCTTAAAAAATAAAAAATTAAGTAACATCCTGATAATCATTCATCTGGATAGTATGCATATGTGCATACAAGTAATTTGTAAACAATTTGTCGGTATGCATACGTGCATAAAACCAAAAAACAGTTTCAGTTATCTAAATGCATATGTGTATATGGTTCAGATAAACGCTTACCAGATTTTTCTGTAGTTTTTCATTTTTGTAGGGTTTCCCCCTCCCTCTCTCTATCTATACTTTTACCTTAACCCGTAATGTCATAATATAATAGGTAACGATATAAAACCATATACGATGGTACCCGATAATTTAAGAGGCAAATATTTTCTTGAGCAAAATTGTCGTTTTTAACACAAATGATAAACAAATTCAAGAACTTAAATAGTAGGTAGGGGAATTACTATATAACACCACAATGTATACCAAAAATTTGAATTTATTATATAAACACTTTAGTTATAGTGAAATCTGATTTATAAATAATTTTTTTCACTACGATATAAAGGGTAATGAAAAAATCATGAAATTTGAAGATCTGATTATAAAACTTTAATTGTGACTTTGGTTATTGGGTAAAAAAACATTAAAATTTGTATAGTCTCAGGAGATGTAGAAAATTTCAATCTAGGGTTCGATTTCAAGCACTGTCAAAGTTCTTGTGGGCTACATGGGTTATATGTGACGGCTCCAGACCATTCATGGTCATCTAAAGATTAGTCGGTGCACATAAGCTGGTGTGGAACCCACGAATGTAATTCTCATTTTAATAATACAAACATTCAAAGTTAATTAAAAGATATGACAAATTCATAATATTTGAACAAAAACATTTCAATTTTCATTTTGGATACAAACTATAAAGCATAAATTAGAGATGTAATAAAGAATGTGTGGGCCATCAAAGTCTGGCCCAGAAAAACCTAGGCCCACTCAGGCCTTAAAGCCTGATGATCCTGATTCTGGGCTAAGCCCAACCCTAAAAAGCTACTTTCACAATTTCCCTTTTGTCAAATCACACGTTGTGTGAGAAGAAAATAAAGTACGGATTTAATTTCCGTGGTTGGTTAAAAATTTGTGATTTTTGTTTACGTTCGTTTGAAGTTACGTTTTTGATCATCATGGTTTGAAATTCATTATTGTTTTCATTGATAAGGCTAACTTTTTAATGATTTACTGTTAAGTATGAGATACGAAAACAACAATGAATTGTAAACCATGATAAGGAAAACCATAACATCGAAAGCACAGGGACAAAAATAACAATTTTTAGACAAACAGTAAGGATGGAAATCATAGTTTACTAAGAATATATAAAGAATGTATGTTCTTTATAATGTCGCATTTTGTAACATGTCTAAAATTGCTTTACACTTTTGATAAATGATTGTTTTTTTTTTCTATCGTCGCCACATTTTTGTATATATGTCATCCACGAATCTACCCTCTTTATGTTCGACGTTTTTCAAGACGTGCCCTAAGGCGGCACACACACACATACATGCACCTATCCTTTTATGTGTTGGTGTTCTGAATAATACTTTCAAACAAATTAAATTAATATAAAGAAATAAAACAAAGAGAAAAGAAGAACCATTGATACAAAATATATAGAGATTATAGAAAATGATACTAAGAGTGTAAAATCGGGATTAAATCTCTTGAATCTCTACTCACTACTTTTTCCTAATTTTCAAATAATTCGTGTTCACATTTTCGTATACAAGAATGTGAGTAAATATTTACCTATTTAAGGTTTTAGTTCTTACGTTTGCTTTTTATGCTTATTTAAGTCCTAGATCTCGTAAATAATTATCATTTATCACTCAAATCTCTCTCTCTCTCTCTCTCTATATATATATATATATTAAAGAAGAAACCACATGTAATGACGTGACCTCTTCTCAAAACAAGAAAATGATTTATCTTTTTTCTCATTTTCTCAAGCTTCTCTTACTTTAATATTTTTTTTTTATGTTTCATATTCACATTTAAGATTCTTTAATTAGGTTGTTTCAACCTATTCATGTTCCCTCTAATAAGTACTTTTTTAACTCTCATTATTTCTCTCTATTTGGTTATAATTTTTCATATTTTATTCATGGTACACCTCTATAATAATATCTCATTTCTTCATCTCTATTCATGTATAATTTTGTGGTACATCTCTATGATAACCTTCTCTATTAATCTCTCAATTCTTCCTCTTTATTCATGTATAATTTTGTGGTACACCTCTACGATAATCTCTATTAATCTCTCAATTCTTCATCTCTATTCAATTATAAATTTGTGGATGCGATTTGCATTTTTGTTGATTTGAGGTGTCATTCAATAAGACAAATCATAATATGAGTTTTTGCTTATGTAAGTATAATATTTTTTTAGTCGGAGATATTCACATTAAAGTTGGAATTATGTAAGCATATGGAGTTTTTGTGTGTGAATAAAGTGACATATGAATCTGATATGTGTTGAGAATTCAACATATAATGCACTCATTTTACATCTTATTAGTTAAAATTAGTTTCTTTTTATTCCCACTTTGAGTCATTTTGATTAATTTCTTTATTTCTTTATTATTATGGAGCTAAAATATTGTGGTTAACTTGTTGGGACTCAAAGATACAAGCTAACGGAGAATTTTTGCTAAAACAGCCTGATGCTACAGCATTGCAACAGCAGCCACCTGATACGTGCACGGCTTTGCGAGGGCTTAACGATTAAGCTGTTGCCTTTTGGATGCTTACTGGAAGACAGCCGGAAGATTTTTAAAATCTGAGATTTTTTACTTTATTTGTACTCTTGTACTTTAGATCCCATTTGCTTAACCTTTGGACATTAACTTGTGGCCAATACCTTTGTTGTGTAGTGCAAGGCCTTGTGTATAAATAGAGGGCTTAACTTTGTGATTGCACACACCTTATAACATATATTCAAGATCAAAATCAGCTAGTTAGGGCTGATTTTGAAAGAATCTTTTGAGAAATTTCAAGTTCTTGAGTTTTTAAGTTTTCATCCTTTAAATTTTTGTCTTTTAATTTCTTGTTCTTTATTTTATGTTCTTTTACGTTTATTGTTATTTACTTTTCGTTATTTAATTTCCGCAATTTACATTCTCGTCATTTATTTTCTCGTTATTTACTTTCTCGTCATTTATTTTCTCGTTATTTACTTTCTCGTCATTTATTTCCTCGTTATTTACTTTACGCAATTTACATTTATGTCTTTACTTTCCGTCATTTATTTTTACTTTTCGTTATGAGTGGTTAAGCTTTTATAGCTTGGATGTGAGACGAAAATGTGAGATTTTCAAACCAAACAAAAGTAACTAAGTGTTTTCGTAAACA